CTATGGCGTTTGTCAAGTTGGAGTCCCATTAGGATGCCTTCGTAGAATACAAGACATCTCAAGACAGTGAGGAACGTGTGATGAGGAATCGGCAGAATGCCCGATAGAAGCAATACCATCATCGTATGGGATTAGGTGGTTATAGGAGTGCTATTCCCAAGTGGCAGAACCTAGAAGCAGAGATTACTGCCAAGGGAATCATACCTAAAACAATAGAGAAGAACTGGCCTCAACGCACGAAGAATTGGTTCTACACTCATGGGGGAAGCCTAGACCCAGACACTGGCAAGCTAATTTTTGGCCAAAAAATTAAGAGAGCAACACAGAGACTAGCTCGTGCTAGGGAAGAAGCTGATAGTGGTGTTTTCAAGCCCAACAGAGAGAAGGATGAATTAACATATGCCCTAGAGAATCCTGAACACGGTGGTCGAACAAGAGGCTATGGGGCGCTTCAGTGGCTACACGCATTCCCAAAGCAGACAAGGATACCTCTGAAGCCACCAGAGAAAGAAGGATGAGGAGGCGAAGCGAATCCATGCATTGGAGCAATTTGTTGATGAGTCACGACAAGCATTGCTTGAATCACGTGAACGAGAAAAATCTCTTGAGGCAAGAATGCAGGAGGAGATCAAGAGGCAAGTCAGACTAGCAATGAGTCAAATGCAATCGCAATCAATGCCGAGAGTCACCATTAGCCCCGTTGGTCGATGAAAAGCGCTTGTGCTTCTATGGAGCTGCCAGTTATTCAAGACGACACTTGGGTTGCGCTTTCTCTGTTGATGACATTACCGAGCCTCTAACAACATGTGATCTGCACATTCTAGATGGTAATAATGCATCAATCATGGTGGTACATCGGGGTTGTATCTCCAATAGACCGAACGAAGACACCAAGAATCCATGGGTCGCTTATTCAACCCGGATATGCTAGCGCCTCTTGGTCGATAGAGTGCTCAAAGGTTACAACAATGTTCCTCTTGACATTGAAGGCGGTGATGGGGAGAAGACACTAGGAGAAGCGGAAAGACATTTATTCAATGGCGCAAATGCTTCATCATCATTCCTGGGGCACCACCGCTTCCCCTACCTCACCCTAGGTACGAATGAAAGTGAATGAAATATTATTTTCCATTAATTTTCTATTGGCTTCAAAAATAATTGACACATAACTTGTTTTTGTAGCAGGGTCTCCCCACCTTAGCCTAATCATTCATTCTCCATCTCATCACACAAATGTCATGGGGCGAGACGACTTCATCCCCACGGCGATCGCTAACTCCTACACCGCCCCATCGCCTCCACAATGATCTCCAACTCCTACACCGCCCCACCGCCTCCACAATGATCTCCAACACCTCCACGCCGGTCTCCACCAACACCGGCCTCATCGCCCCACGCCGGTCTCCAACACCGCCCCACCCCCTCCACAAATGACGCACTACAAAAAGACGTCTAAGGTCCCGTGGCAAAGAAGACCCCGAGAAAAGAGTTATTTCTCAAGAAATACTTCTGAAAAGACCGATGAGCAAATAGCAAATTGAAGAAGACAAAAAGTGAAAGATTTTTTATAGATATCAAAAACAAGAGTCAAGCGAAGCTTAAGGAGAAGCCAGTACTTTTACATACCACGAGATGTGCTTTGAGGCGGAAGGTCGATGCTCACAAGAAAAAGATGATTGAACTTCGTAAGCCTTCGCCACTATCGGACTATGACCGCTCCCTCGTGAAGTCACATGATGCGAGATAAGAAAAGGAAAAGAGCATCGTGGAAGGATGTCCCACGGCTGGACAATGAAGCAACCAATGCAAAATCTTGTTGTTGCTAATGAATATGGTTCCAACATAAAGTCTATCGACCGCACAACTCGGAGAAGTGTCGGTTCAAGCCCTTAATGCTTTTTTTTGAAGATACTGGTTTAACCTTGGATCAATTGACAGTAAAGCTCCAATCCGTAACTCGGAAGTTGATACCGGAAGACTTATAAATATGGTAAAAGTCACATACAACCTATGGCTCTGAATGAATTGGGTACGCAAATGTACTTGCTCAACAAGTGGTACATGCAAAGCAGTGGTTGGGGTGAGAAGGGATCTTTGTCGATTTAGAGACCATTATTACTTCCGTGGTGATGACATCTTACATATTAGTTTCAAGAATTGCATCAACTATACCACTTGGACGCCTCGGACAAATCAATCATTAGCTCCTTTTGTTTGTAAATGATTCTTACTTTTATTTAATAAACTCACTTCCATGCGTGCGTGTATATAATTATCCTCATATGTAACTTATATTTATATATACTGATTCCGGATGTCGAGCTCCAAAGAATACAAGACACCGGTGTTGCCTTCATTTATCCTTATATCGTATTCAAAACCGGTATTATTATCAAGGAGCGGTGGGTATCTCGAAGCAGGAGAATATCATGATGTTCTTCGTGAAGCGAACGACAAGACAACAATACTTTTCCGCACAACTTTGAGTAAGTGTTAATAATAATGTAGTCTACACATTTTATGTAATATCAATACAACTTATATGCATGTACGTGTGTGTATAAACCAATGCAGTTTTCATCGGATACTCATTGTCATTGAGTTAAACTCAAGTCGGTTAGTAATCTTTGACTCGTTGAGAAAAGAGCGGGCACTATACCAAGATATGATAGACATTATTCAGGGGTAATTTCGATCTCTCGCGCACAACTATTATTGAATAGACTTTACCATAATTTATTAACGATCGTACATTATTGGTCGCACAGGGTTTGGAAAGAGTTTATTCGGCAACATCACAAGGATTGCAAGGCACCACTTAATGTAGTTGAAATACAAGTGAGTTGTACTATATACACTTCCCCACGTGTTTAATTACTATATCGTACTTCAATTTACGTGTGAGATGATGAGAAAAATCTTCTTCTCGTACAGTGGTGTTTGCGGCAGCAACCAGGTAATAACTTGTGTGGATACTACGTTTGTGAATTTATCACTGTGCACATAAGAAGAACTCTTAAAGATGTCCTCAGAGTACGTATATATCAAATTTTTATTTATTTTTAAATGAATATATATATATATATATTATATTAATACTTTTCCTTTTATTTCAAATGCAAGACTAAATGGTTGAAACGAAGGGTCATGCAAAAAGACCATCTGAAAGCAGTTCAAGAGTCAATAACAGGATTTCTTCTAGAAAAAGTGCTAAATTCCAACGGCGAGTTCTACTTTGATCTTAAGGAATAAATGATGTAAATTAAATGTTTATTGATATCGTTATTTTCGAGAACAAGATTATGAAAGTGTTGTATACATACATACATATATATATATATATAATATATATAGGTTCATACTTTATTCGAATATAATAATGCTCGAGATGAGAATTAGATGTAATTATATGCGTGCATGTATTTATATTAGCAGCGTAGAATACGTATATAAAAACATATTATATATTAAACAAATACGTGTAACTCAACTGAAAACAAATTAAACAAAAAAAAGAAAAAGAAAAGGAACCTTTAGTCTCGTTGGGGTTACCAACCGGGACTAAAGGGTGCGGACACATTTGCTCGGCTAGGAGGGCCTTTAGTCCCGGTTGGTAACCAATCGGGACTAAAGGTCCCTCTTTAGTCTCGGCTCGATGACCCGGGACTAAAGGTGGCACCTTTAGTCCCGGGATCGTTGTCCCGGAGCGGTAACCGGGACTAAAGGCCGTTAGCGCCCGGGACAACAAGTCCATTCTGTAGTAGTGCATATAAAATTATCGTAAATGAAGGTGGCTACAAAATAACTTATTTTGTAGCTGGCTACTGAATATACTCTCCCTATATACACACTGGTTTATAGCTGTGTTTTGACAATTATTGTGGACACTACGATTCATACATTGGTTTGACTCAAATTATGCATACTTTATTATACTCTCCGAAAAAAAAATGCAATTCTCATATGAGAAGTCAAATGATTTGAAGTTTGATCAAATTTATATAAAAATATATTAACATTTATGATACAAAATAAGTATCATTTATTTGATTATGAAATATATTTTTATAATGGCTCTGTTCGCTAGTTGATTTCTGTACTGATAAGTCCGGCTGGTGCTGGTTTGTTGTAAAAGGAAAACACTGGGGCTGATAAGCCCTGGCTGAAACCAACAAGCGAACAGGCTGAATAAATCTAGATAGAGACAAATGTTAATACTATTCACTATAAATTTGATTAAAGTTAAACTAGTTTGATCTGCACGCAACGTTGGCAGCGGTTTCAGCGGCCTCTATACTATCCTAGAGGGTACAGAGAATAAACGTTTATTATCGAACTTTAAATTAAATGAAAAACAACGGGTGACAATATTTTATATTCCCAAATGCTTCTCCCGTTTATGTTGCAAATGGGCCCTAACTTCGCATTTGGAAACGAGGTTCAGGCCCAGCTCCAAATGTGAGTGAGCAAAGCCTACAAGGGAGGGGACATCTTTTAGGCGGGAAGCGACATCCTGTTTCCCGCCATTCTCCTATCATCTCTTTTCCCTCCCTACCGCTGCAATGCGGCGCCGCCACTGGTCGCTCCCCCGTAGCCTCCTGCTGTGCAGCCCGCAGCCCCTCAGCCGCCGTTCACCCCTGCCACCCCCTCCCTCCCTGCGACGACTGGTCGACTGTCGCTGCCGCCCTACGCGAGGGCCACCCCTTTCTCTCAGCGACGACTCTCGGCGACCGTTGCTGCCAGTTGGCCAGGTCTTCTTCGGGCTCTTCGCCGGCGACAAGCACCACCAGGTACACCCACTGTCCTTGGTCTTCCCTTCCTGCTGTGCATAAGAGCACCCAAACCCTAACTTACTGTCTGTGTTCGGATCTGATCCGCGCCAATTCCACCCCCGTCTCCAACCCCCTTCAATTTCCCAACGTTTTCCCCTACAAATTCAGTCCATCCTTTGTTGTGATGTTCCTTTGTTTGGTTTGGTACAGCCAGTTTTTTATCTGAGGATGGGTAGGGACGATGAGCAGGTTGACTCTATGGAGATTGACGACCAGAAGCAGCAACAGCTAGAAGCCCCCGCTGACGTGCCAGAAGGGTTCAACACTGACTATCTCCGTGTTTACTACGGTAAACTGATTCCCCTTATAATGCATGGAGCGGACAAGTAAAATGAAACAGGATCCATACCATCTTGTCGGTCCATAACCATCTATTTTCTATCTTTATTTATCATTGATTCTGCAAAAAGTTGTGATGTTGCATCACAGATTAGGGGTTCTTTGTTGTTTCGATTAATTCTGTGGTTGCTTTTGTTGTATGTGAATTGTGATTGAGACATCTAACAGATGAGGAAGCAACTGGCTAGCATTTGCTTGCTGGAATAGTTTCCTTCCCCTCCCAATTGCTTGAGAACTTTAGTATATCTTGTTTTCATACTCTTCTTTTTTTCAAGACCTTGCACATTTTGTTATTCATCTGGTGTAACTAGGCATGCTCTCACCTGACTGAGGCTTTGCATTTAAGAGCCCGCTCGACTATGTAAGGGACACTACAGTGTCTTTGATTTCCTGCTGCTTGTGCTAACAACCAGGGTTATGATCGCAGGAAAGCTCTTCCCATATGGTGATTTCTTCAAATGGCTTTGCTATGGAAATGGTTCGTGCTCACATCCTGGTTCTTTGGTTAGGAGTTAGCCTTGCACTCGTGCTGTGTCTTGATTTACCAAATTTTGTTTTCTATAGATGGAAAGCACCCCGGATGTGATCAGTCATATGTTGGACGTCGAGAGTTTTCATTTACACTGGAGAATGACATCTACTTGCGCTTCCAATCCTTTGATAGTGCTGCTGAATTGGAGAGTTCTATCAAGGAGAAGTGCCCTTTCAAGATTGATATTGGACCTGTCTACAGCGTAGATGTATGATGCAGCATCACTAAACACATAAATTTCTTTTTGAGTTTGATTCTAATTTTCTGCATTATACTCTTTTCGCAAGTTCTCAGCTAACTGATGAATCTTTGTTTTTCTGTAGCCTTCAAAGCGTCATGCTTACGCCCAATCTGGCAATAATGTCTTTGTACCAGTGGAGAGAGAACTAATTTTTGACATTGTAAGATAAGAAACTTGCATTATCTTTTTCATTCCATTTTCCTTTTATATTTTGCTCTGTATTCTTGTGCAACAGTTGCAGGCTGTCAACATTTTTATTCTTCCCAGGATATATCTGATTATGACGATGTTCGCTACTGCTGCTCTGGAGCTGATGTCTGCTCAGACTGCTGGCCCTTAATGACAATTGCTATCAAAATTTTGGATACTTCTCTTAGAGGTATGTCATTTGATTATGCAATACATCAGCTACCCACTTTTTCAAATTTATCCACACGAACTACAGATTTGCAGTGCTTATTATAATTGAAATCATTGTTTGCAGATGATTTTGGTTTCAGTCACATACTATGGCTATACAGTGGCCGTCGTGGTGTCCATTGCTGGGTCTGTGATAACAGAGCAAGAAAGTATGTTAGAATTTACTTTATCTGTTTCCTATGCCTGTTGATCCTAAAACACATGTTCTCGTGTTAGGCTAAGCAATGAACAAAGGGCTGCAATTGCTGACTACTTTTGAGTCTACAAGGTGACACACTTCATCATGCATTACTTTTGATGCCGTTTCTTGCCCTCCTTCAGAAATCTATTTAACCCTATGAATCTATCTCAGGGTGGTGAAAATGCACTGAAGAAAGTATCCTTGGCTGGACCTGTCCTCCATCCCTTCCTTGCGTACGTATCAACTGTCACGTCATTTTGTTTGATCTACCAACGAAAATTGGAAGAGCTAAATTGATTATTATGTAATTTATGCTCCTGCAGCCGGTCATACATGGATGTTCTCAAAACCTTCTTTGAAGATAGGTTGCTCCTTAGCCAACAACTCTTTTCATCAGAGGAGAGATGTCAGAAGATACTTGATCTCATCCCTGATGAAAGTAAGAAAAGGCACCGTGAGAAATGAACGTTACTCTCTGACATACCCTCTCCATTTCAAATTATAAGATGTTTTGGCTTTTTTAGATACATTGCTTTTGCTATGTACGTAGACATACTGTATATCTAAGTTCATGACAAAAATTATGTATCTAGAAAAATCAAAACATCTTATAATTTGTAATAGGGGAGTAGATGAAATCTACTATCCCTTGTTTAGCATGCCATAGATCTGTTCACCATCATTCTGAATTGGATTTGATTTCTAGATGTTGCTAGTGAGGTCCATGACAAGTGGCAGGGAAATAGACGATCTTCTATTTCAAAGGAAGATGTCAATGTGACCAGATGGGAGCAATTGAAGACGACTTTACAGTCAGGAAAACACAAGGTTCATGTTTGATCTCCTATTTACTTTTTTTTTCTGTGTTTTATCCCCTAGTTCTTATTTACTTTTGTTCGGACTTTTGTCTGTTTATCGATCAATGTTTATGTTAGAGGAGTCAAGGGCCTATTGGGCCTTAGCCCGTCAGGGTTAATTAGTCGCTTGCTTAGGAGTCAAGTAAGCCTCTCTATATAAGGAGAGAGATGTATCAATCTAATCAAGCAAGAGATTAGAAGGAAATCCCTTCTCTCTTGCCGGCCGTGGGCGAAGCCCCGTGGCCGGCCTCCCCCAGCGCCCTTGCAGCCCTAGCCACCACCACGTGAACAGTACTCGCGGATACGGTAGCGCTGCGGGTACTGTAGCACGCACATCGCCGCCTCTCCTCTCATCTCCATCCCAACTGGCCACATAACATCTGGTATCAGAGACCATGACTGGATCCTACGCCGTTGTGCCCTTCTCCACACCGCTCGGCGCACATCCCTAGGCTGCGCCGGCCCTATTCTCCGTACCGCCACCGGCCGGATCCTACGCCATCGTGCCCTTCTCCACACCGCTCGGCGCACATCCCTAGGCTGCGCCGGCCCTGTTCTCCGTAGCGCCGCCGGCCGGATCCTACGCCGCCGTGCCCATCTCCACGCCGCTCGGCACACATCCTTGGGCTACGCTGCCTCGTCCCCTCCAGCTTCCCCAGACCACCACCGCCACACCACCACTATGGCGCTTTTTGCTCGCGCAAGCGCGAGCTTGCACCTTCCACAGGCGCCTTCAGTGAGTGGATGGCGACCTTCGACCACCTGCAGTGCCAAATGGACGTCCTCGCGACCCTCGTCCATAACATTGGCGCACAGCCGGCGTCGGTGCCCTCATCCGTGGGCGCGCAGTCGGCGGGCCTCGTCCTCGGCGTGCCGGTGCCTCCATTCACAGGTGCACAGCCGGGCGATCAGATCGCTACTGCAGCAGCAACCGTGCAAGTGGCGCTTGCGCAGAAGAGTGATTGTCAGTTTGCGACGATGCGATTACAGGCTGCAACATGCGGCCTCCTAGCGCGGCGCCAACTGCAGGAGATGCGCCGGCAGATGCATGAGGCAACCTTGACGGCGATCGACCTCGGCAAGGGGGGGCACGACCTCGCCCCGTCGAACGGCCAACAACAACCGCGCCAACCCGTTGCTGTCTCTAGGCGCGAGCATGGTGCTGTTCCCGTAGGCGGCGCACTCCAGTTCTATGGGAGTGATGATAGAAGAAGCGCACTCCTCTTTGTCACTGGCGGAGACGCACTGCCTAGCGCTGCCGCATTTCGCTATCGGCCGCCACGAGGTCGTCTTCGCTGGTCGCTGTTGCGATTGATTCCAGACAACCATACCCGTGCAACCCTGTCGTTTCGATGGTCCCCATGGGATCCAGGCGACTACTCGAGCCTGTCCAGCACGCGGAGGGTGTCCGCCGCATCTTCAGGATTCAAGAATAAAGAGTCAAGTTTATATGAAATAAGCCGAGATATAAAAGGCTTGTTCTTAGGTGTTCAGTTTGTATCTAGTGAAGCCATAGTTAGCATCATTGTTAGGTCGCAGCTCGAGGATGAGCTGCATGTCCGGGTGGGGAGTAGTGTTAGAGGAGTCAAGGGCCTACTGGGCCTTAGCCCGTCAGGGTTAATTAGTCGCTTGCTTAGGAGTCAAGTAAACCTCTCTATATAAGGAGGGAAGATGTATCAATCTAATCAAGCAAGAGATTAGAAGAAAATCCCTTCTCTCTTGCCGGCCGTGGGCGAAGCCCCGCGGCCGGCCTCCCCCAGCGCCCTTGCAGCCCTAGCCACCACCACGTGAACAGTACCCGCAGATATGGTAGCGCTGTGGGTACTGTAGCCCGCACATCGCCGCCTCTCCTCTCATCTCCATCCCAACTGGCCACATAAGCACCCGGTTTTAAAGACAAAACCAGATACACACTATATGTGAGCCCAGGAAGTCAAATCTCATATATAGCCACAAATCAGGGTAATATCAAGAGACAATACTTATTACATAATGTATTAGTAAAAAGAAAATGACCTCAGAGTAAAGACAGCGGAAAGTTGACTCCGATCTTCTGGCGAAGACTCCGAATCCACAGGGACAACTGACTAGTTGACCACAAGCCTAACTCCTCCAAATCAGCAATCTAGTACCCATTCGAGATTTTTATCCAAAGTATAAAAAAATAAAGCAAACGTAAGTACATGTCGTACTTAACAATTATATCATGGGGTTCATGAGGCTCAAAAGGTTGACACTGGTTTACTGCGATTAGCTTTAATAGGTCATCTTTTTAAGCAATTGAGTAGCAAAGAATTTATCATTCCCATAAACACATGATTAGGTAATCATGAATAATGTATAGCATAAACAATTGATCATTAGTATAATTATCCATTAGTGATCATCTCTATTCCATAAGGGTCCAAGGTCGCTCGTGTCCGTAAGCACGGCTGTTATAACAGTTTTACACTCTGCAGAGGTTGTACACGTTCACTGTGAGTCGTGATTTACCCTTTCACCCGGGGTGATCAACCCCTTGACCCACTACCAAGGAAGGTCGGCAGGGTTCACTATGAAGCCTTTCAAAAGATTTCGTCTAACAAGTTAGGGCCGCTAGACGTATCTGACCCCTGTCTAGGAGTGGCACGCGTGGGCATCGCAGCACGGTACACACTTTCCAGCAGCAAAGGAAACATATCCTACGCCTTAAAGGTACCCACTAACAAGCTAGAAAAGATCCTCATACTGAGCTAAAGCCAGAGCCATATGACCCTCACAGCTGTACTGTAAGTCCCGGATGATCGCTTACAGATAAGTCCTTAGTGAGAGGAATCTGAAGCATATAAACACTCCAACCCCCTGTTTCCATGTTACTAAAAAATCATATTTTAATGTTTATTACATATACCATTAGTCAAGTTACAAGATCATAGTTTTGATTAAGCACTAGCAAAAACTACCCAATGCAATATCCCAAAAGTTTTAAGGTGCAAGATATCAAATATCTAGGATATCCTTAATGGTAATAAGGGAGACACATGCAATATGAATTTAGTGATTAAATGTGAATAGGTAATAAGGATGGTCCCATGCTATACTTGCCTTAACTTGCTTTTCCCCCAAAGCAATATGCTCAAAAGCCTTTAGTATTCCACTTTCAATCTTCTGCTTCCAATTCTTAGCTTCTAGTCTTCAGAGAACTGCTTCTTAATCACCACGTAAACCTCACCGATTGACTGAATCATATATCACCACACAAACATCCATACATGGCATACAAATAAGAATATATGAGAACAGTACATCAACCAATAAAATAAGCAAAACGGTGTATCGCTACGAACACATAAATGCAAAAGACACGCGATATGCGATTCAACGAAAAAGTGACTATCGATGGATTTTTAGTACAACGGAAAATAAAACTTATCCATTTAACTTATTTTAACTGTAGAAACACATGAAAATATTTTCATTAATCAACTTGATTCATTGCTTAAGAAAGAGCGTAGTATAAAACCACTAACGCCACTGCGTAGAACACGCCGATAACGAAACTATCGTTAAGAAGAAACAACTACCGAACAGTTTTATATATATTACAAAAGAAACATTTACGAGCTTGATTCATGTTAATTAAGAAAAACTATGTGAGTAGTACCCACTCAGGTTACTCAGAACGTATTCAATTTGAAAAGTTGAGTTAAAGCTAATTATATTTTATTTATAAAAATATCTCATATCATTTAAGTCATTTAAACATTTAACTAGAAAGATTAAAGAACATGTGACAAAAGCCATACAAAAGCATCATGTGTTGAAGTTGAACTAAGCATGCTATAAATTAAAAATGTATTAATATCGATATTGATCATAATGATAGTAATTTATGAAAGACTGATGTATTCACCTAAGTTGCTTTTAATTATAAACCCAGTTGCATAACCATTAAACAAATTTATATTTAACTTATAAAATTTTGAGATATGAGACATGTTAAACGTCACTGCTAACACGTAGCCTTAGTCAAATTATATTTTAATTTAGAAACTGAGTTAGAGTAATCATGTTTTATTTATAAATGTTGCCAGGTAGATTAAGTAAGTTAAACTTAAACTTTGCAACAGTAAAATGCATGTAAGTGCATCTATACAAGTTTATCATATATACAACGAGTTTAAACTAACCAAACTTATAATTGAAAAGAATATTAATATCAACAATTAATCATATTAATATTATACATTAATTGCCGAGATATACAACATATATTACTTAATTGTAAAACTATTTGCATGCGTACTTAATCATTTTAATATTTAATTATAAAAGCGTAATAAGGTAACATGGAACACATCGTCATGAACACGTATCACCCATTGCGATGAAACTCGGGTAATCGAATCGAAATTAAAAATCTAAATCGACTTTAATTAATCAGCGATTAATTAATTATAGACACAATTAACATTTTAATAAAATAAATTCATAAACATGTGATATGAACACTAATAATTCTACTGCGTAGATCTCCATGACACAAAACTAACGCAACTGGAACAAACTAAAACGGAGCTAAAATGATTAAACGGCGGGGAATAACAATAGGATGGTAAAATCGTAAATAAGGTCATCTTCTGCCTTTGGTTGTTCACGTACAGAACATGTCGACCGTGGGATTTCCTGCTGCATTGCTCGCACGGAGAGGGCCGAGGACAGATGGACCTGGCGGGCCAGCGGAGGCACACGGCTGCGCGGATGGCAGCCCGCCACGCACGCAACAGGGCAGCAGCGCGGCTGGCCAGCGCAGGGCCTGCACGGCCGAGCCCGCACAGGCCGGCGGCGGCGCCTGCTGTGCAGGGCGCGGGAGGCCGCGGGGCCGGGGGCAGGGTGCGGGGTCCGCGAGGTGAAGGCGCAGGAGTGCGGTCAAGGGGCGGAGATGGTGCTGCAGCGCCGCACGACGAAGAACGAAGAAGCTCCGTCAGCCAGCCATGGTGATCCTCGCCGGAGAAAAAAAAGAGAGGTTAGTGAAATGATGAACGAGCACGGATTCGTGAGAAGGATGGCAAGAGGGTGTAGAGGATGACGAGATCTACCTCGTGGTGGTGGTGGTCGACGCCGAAACGCGACGGTTTGGTCGGAAAAGCTCGTCGGAAGTTCACCGAAACCTAGCTTTTCCGAACTTCGGCGGCCGATCTGCGGGACTACGAGTGGCGGCTCAAAAATCGATCATATTTCTGGAATCCTCGCGTCGAGGCTACGCCGGCATATATATACACGAAGGGTTTGTCGATTTTGGAAAGTCGAGATATTTTAGCAATTATTGATTTTCGGAATTAAAATAATTACAGAAAATCGGGAATTACTATTTAGGCTCCAAAAATATCTCTGAGTTCCGAAAAAATCCATAAAAATTTCTAAAGATAGATGGAAGGATAAGAAACACAACCAAAGTAGTTTTAGCTCCCGGAAAAGACTTTTGGATTGATCGAGAAAAAAACAAAGCTTCAAGAAATAGGAGTTTAATCCTGAAAAAGGTCGGAAAGTTTCTCGGAAAGAGAGACATCGTTCTAACGCGTCTTAAAACCTTTTTCAAGCCTTTGAATTTTGAAAACAAAGCATCTTATCTAACTTTTGTTTTTGCAAGTTTTCAATTTCTTTTTAAACCACTACTTGAAAATAATATTTTGAAGATTGAGATTTGAATTTATTTTCCAAACCGCTCATCACAAAAGTACCAATGTAACGGCATCCAAACCACTCATCACAAAAGTACCAATGCAACTGCATGTATGCGCAAACATGTTGCTACCCTTATGTTGATTTAATTTAAAGAAAGTTTTCTTTTACCTATGTTTTTATGAGTACAAAACCATTAACAGAAATCATTTTACTCTTTTTAGAAAGTAGCTAATTTTAGGGTGTTACAATTCTACCCCCTTAAGATGAATCTCGTCCCGAGATTCGGAGAAGAAGAGCAAAGAAGAGAGGGATACTTCAACTTGAGATTTTCTTCACTTCCTTGAGCAACACCATCTTGATACTCATCTTGTGTTGTATGAGAATTCATCATGTGGCTACTCTTACAGATTCTTGTTCCATCTTATACCAAGTATGATCTTGTTGCTTCTCTTAATCTTGTTCCAATGAATCTTATTATCCATATGTTAAGCTTCCAAAAGATCTTACTTAGCTTGAATCATAACTTTGAATTCTATGGTTTATTATTTTTTATGCATTTTGAAATGTTTTACTTTTCAAAGCCAGTTGGGATGGAAATGAGAGGAGAGGCGGCGATGTGCGTGCTACAGTACCCGCAGCGCTACCGTATCCGCGGTACTGTTCACATGGTGGTGGCTAGGGCTGCAAGGGCGCTGGGGGAGGCCGGCCGCGGGGCTTCGCCCACGGCCGGCAAGAGAGAAGGGATTTCCTTCTAATTTCTTGCTTGATTAGATTAATACATCTCTTCTCCTTATATAGAGAGGTTTACTTGACTCCTAAGCAAGCGACTAATTAACCCTAACGGGCTAAGACCCAATAGGCCCTTAACTCCTCTAACAGTTTATTTCTTTTGGTTACACCAGATCGTGTATAATATTCCAAGTTCTCAGTTACGATCATATCTGCTAATTCATCTGATTATGTTACTTAATAGCTCTAATTGTTCTCTGTTTCATGCTCAGGGGCTTCGTAGATGTGTGGAAGAGATTGTCTTCTCATACACATATCCTAGACTTGACATGGAGGTAAAAGAAAAATCATCAGTTGTCCGTGTTTGCACTGGTAATAATGTACTAATGTTCAAGGTTGCTCTCACTCCTAATCAACTTTATACCCATGCCAGGTATCAAAGCACATGAATCATTTACTAAAAGCTCCCTTTTGTATACATCCAAAGACAGGTAAAAGTCATAATGCATTCAATTCCTGTATTAGTTTGTAATGTGATAATAAGGTGGCATGCTCTTATGCTCAAGAGAGAGGCTTTATATACGCATGCATGTCCTTTTGAAACCTCTAGATTCCAGAACAGATGCATTCACTCAAATACCTTTGCCATTTTCATTTAGTTTATTCTAACAACTGCAGGAATAATGTTTGTCACACAATGCACCCTATTGCTGACAATTGACTGTTGTTTATTTTTCTAGGTCATGTTTGTGTTCCAATTGATCCCAGTAACTGTGATGATTTTGATCCTGCAGCTGTTCCAACTTTATCACAGGTATGGTCCATAGAGCCTAGCATGAGAAACACTAACATTTCATATCCTTCTCCCAAGCATCATGGTGCAATGCTGATTTGCTAAAACAAGTACACTTATACAGCTTTTAGGAGAGCTCAATGCTATTGGTTTTCAGACAGATTCTGAAAACAGTAAGTGATTAGAACTATGCTTCTTTTGTGATTTGTGTAAAAACTTATTATTTGTAATTGCAAAAAAAAGCATTCTAGTACCAACATGCAGCCTTGCCTAACAGGCTAATATGCCCTCTTTTTTATCCTATTGAGTTTCAGATTTGGAAAGAACGTCCCTTGGGAAATCCATCAGTTTTTTTCAGAACTTCCTTTCTGCACCCATTGCTGAAAGCGTGCAAGGTATGGACTCTCCTATTTCATTTCTGTGCCAATGCCGGCATCCATATGCATATATGTGAATAATTGAAACACCGCAAAATATCTTCGGTAGCAGAAACTTAAGCACTATATAATTCTCTTCATCCCCCAGCCCCCACCCAAAGAAAAAAAAAAGATGCTCGCTTACTTTCCGTTAATCGAGCATTCTGTTGCTAGGAATTAAAAAAAGTTAGGATGCTCACTTACTTTCCGTTAATCGAGCATTCTTTTACTAGGAATTAACTCTATCTCATGGTTCTGACATTTCCTGAGGCATAAGTCCGAGTCTTTCTCTGGCATGCAATTTTGCAGGAGGAACTGGAAAGTGCATATAATGCAAAGCTTCAACAGTCCAAGAATTCCTTGAACTGGTAAAAATCTAGGCATGTTTCTGCCTCTGTTATCAGCCCCCGTCCGGCCGTCCCTGTGCATTCCAACTGTGGCATGGACCTGGTGCTATAGGTGGATTATCTATGTGACGCTGCCAACCTGTGTTGCATGCCTGGGACTGGGATGCATGCTACCATGTCAGTTTGAAGTTGTATCTACGAATGTGACCTGTTCCGGTGCAGGAATTGCTATCGTTACGTTTCAGTTACTCCCAAGGGGAAATGAATGTAACACTTGGTGGCCGACGGTGGCAAGATAATCATGCTACCATGTCAGTTAAGTTGCATTTACGAATGTGACCAGGGGTAAACCTGTACTGGTGCTGGAATTGCTGCCATTAGGTTTCAATTTTTCATGGGGAAATGAATGTGGCCGACGGTGGCAAGATAATCGTGAAAATCTTAGGATTCATGTTAACTTGGGAGAGATAATCGTGCATCTTAGGATTCATGTCGGGTGGTTTACCTTTTAGATTAGTTTATCTGGTTGAAGGGTTATAGTGACAGTCAAACACTCAAATGGATGGAGACATGCTTAGGTCATTTCATGCAAGTTCGTTGCTCAGCAGATACTGATTGGGCTGCGCTCGCACGCTCAACAAGAAGTTTGCCCTCGCACGCTCAACGAGAAGCTTGACCGGATGAGCAAAGCACTCGCTCAGCGAGGCGTCACAGAGCCGAGCGATGGAACCAAACAGCATCTCAAGCCACCTTTGCATGCAACTCTCCCTCGGTTTTGAACTAATAGCACTTACTCTGAAGCAAAACCAAAACGCGATAATGCTAAGACCAGTCTTCAGCGAGGAGTTTCATAACATTTTTAAGACTAGCATGTCGTTGAATGAAATAAAACATGAATGAAAAACTCTCTAAATGGAAAGTTAAATATAAATGAAACACTCATTCTTAATGAAAATTTTATTATATAGTTTCATAGACATTTAATTTCATAACTTAAAGAGCTAGGAATCATTTCTCTTTCTTCCTAAAAAAAAGTCATATCATGAAAAATGTCTTCGCTATTAAATGCAAATAATCAAATAAAACTCCCACTAAGACTGGTGTAGTATTTCTAGTCAAGAGGCAGAGAACAAAACCTAAGATGCTGAGAAAAGGATGGTCTGAGATCTCTTTGGTCGAGCTTTCCGACCTGCTTTTGCTTTTGCAAAAACCAACCAAAGGGCCCAAAAGCTACAAATGCTTTTCCCAAAAGCAGGTTTTTCCGTAGCACAAATCCAAAAGCACCTCTCCCCTGCTTTTGCCTTGTTTGTTTGGACTTTTTTTTGACTTATAAGCCATGATTGAAAATACTGTTAGCTGGTTTGGTGTGAGAGAAAAATACTATTTGTTGGCTGATAAGCTATGGCTTATAAACCAAATACGACTGAGCGAACAAAAATTACCCACCTAACACTGGTTAGGTTGCTTACTGGGTCGTTTTTAATGCTCCTGTGTGCAACTTCCCTTCCCTTTCCTCCGGTCCGGGACTTCTTCCTCGCATCCGACGCCAGGTCCGGTGTCTTCCACGCGGCTCTGGCGGCGGGCTCGGCACCGGTGGCGGCAGGCGCGGCCCCGGTGAGCGCGACCCCGGATCCGGCCAGCGAGACCCCTCCCTTGCGCGGCCTCGGTGAGCTCCCTCCCTCCCCGGCGAGCGCGGACCTGGATCCGCAGGCACGGGCACAATCCTGTCTTCTCCGGCTGGCTCCCTCCCTCCACTGCGAGCGCGACCTTCACCGCCACCGCAAGCGCTCCCTCCCTCCCCTACAAGCGTGGCTCCGGATCCGACAGGCGGCGCGGCGCAGCCCCATCTTCTCCGGCCGACCTCCACCGCCACCTCCCCTACGAGCCCCCACGAGCCCCCTCCCCCTACCCCGGCGTTTCGAACCTTGCCGTCCGGCGAGGCCCCTCCCCGTGTACGCACTGGAAGAAGAGGGAAGAGGCTTCGCTCGTCTGAGACTTCAGAGCTGTGGGCTGTGGATGACATGTGGGGTCAGCGCAACATTTTTTTAAAAGCTACCGCTGCTGAACCAAACGGGCTTTTGGCTTTTCCTAAGCTACTTTTCCGAAAGACATCTTTTATTAACGAATGAGGTTCTGCTAATTACAGCGCTGCACAGATTAGCTACAAACTGTCACCACGAAACCTCTATGTTCACGGTATTTACAACATTTACATGCTATAAACTGCTACTGTTTCCAAGAGAGCTCACCAGAACGGACACCACCTGTGAAACAAACAAGCAACAAACAGTGAGTAACGCAGTCTCAAAAAACGATGGCAGAACGGGGGGCAGCTGCAAGAAAAAAGGAAGTACGAAGAGATTCATACCCGACATAGTTTTGGCACAAATTTTCGTGTGAAGTCGCTTGGAGTATGAGCTTCTGAACCTGAACCTTCACTGAGAGACCAGGCTGCGCATCCCGGGCATCTCCTGAAGCCAAGTGTTCACTGTCATGTTGGGTCGAGCTACCTGGTCCAGCCAAAGCTGACCCCGAAGAGAAGTCACGCCCTGTTAGCTTGTCACTCATCCGTGCCATCACAGCTACAGCACGTTCATTCAAAACCTCATTGGCATCACCAAGTTGATTGACGGCCTGCATGGACAACATGAATGGTTACTCATCCAGGTACGTGGCAAGGTTTAGTGCAATCAGACCATGAGGATGGAGTAGAGCAGGCAACCTGTAGCAGTTCCCTCTCACGTGCTCCTCGCTGAGGTTGCATGAGTTCTCGATTAGCCACTGCTTCTTCACTACTGACAACCGTGTGAGCATGAGCATTACCATAGTTTGACACTTGAGGAACCTCATTGAAATTGAACAGACGCCAATTGATTAACGGGTCATGTACAAATGCCTGGGGAGATCAAAAGCAAAATATTTAAGAAAGAAATGCCTAATAAGCACAAGATCACCAAGCATGTAGGTAGGTGGTACAAGAAACACACAACGAAGAACTGAAGGGAAAAAGACAGCCATCTTCCTATTCTGTTCTCCAAACTATTCCCACTACAAAATCAGACCTTTGTGGAAACATTGGGAGCATCAACTCAAAATATGGTACACAGATATGACAAATTAGTTTGCTACTTAAAATTTCTGCTAAACAAGGATACGAGAATTTCTTTAGTGAGTGGCAACTTGCTTTACCTAATCACTCTTGATTTCTAACTGAATCCAGCCTTAAGAAAACTAACTCCTAAACATTATTTCTTTTTTACTTTTCAGAATTTGTACTGGGAATAAAAAAATCTATCCGCATCTGAAGTGAAGAAACATTTGTCCAAGATAGATGCTCTACTCTGGGTCATACGGAAAATAAGGTGATCATCTCACCTCCATCATGGCCATAACGCTGTCTCTGTTTGTGCGAAGGACTTGCATCACACTTTCACAAGTTGTTCGGAATGTACCCTCAATACCACTAACTTCCATAGCTTTCACAAGCATTCTAGTCAAACGGAATGGTACCTATACAACATTCCAAACTGGGTAAGATACTGTCAAACAAAAATGCAATGGCTAAGTCACAGTTAGGAGTACAAGCCATGAACACATTTCTAAATGTTGGGCATGTCTCCAAAAAAGCAAGAATATACTTTGACCACTAATTTCTCTTATAGTAGTCTATGAATATAAAATCTCAGGCATGGACCTCTGATTTCTCTTATAGTATATTGTTTGACTATAAAATCATAATCATAAGAAACCACTTTCGAATCAAATGCAAATTTTGTGTAACACAATCTACACACTGGTATACTAATTTCTGCTCAAAGATTATAAAAAGAAATCGAGGGAATAATTAAGGTATAATGCACACAGCAATATTACTTACTTTTTCAGGGAATTTTTCTCGATTCATTGAAGCCTCAAAGCAATCTCCAAAGTCAATGTGTAATATTTTTCCACTGAAGCAAAAAGAACAATCTTATTACAAAAGTAACTGCATAATACATACACTAATGGAAGAATAGTTCTGAAGATGTACCTATAGCGATCTAACATAAGATTACTTGGATGCCGATCTCCTAAACCAAGCAAATACCCAACCTGAAAATTACCTTTTCAGCATCTTAAAGTAATGAAGATTCCATTTGAAAAATCAGAATAAGGAAGTAACTCATACCATGCTCATAACAGCCAGGCTTCTAGAATAGTTTGTGCGGCGCTCAAGCCATACTTCCGAAGTTCGACTCTTCAGCCACAGAACCTGCCACAGTTTATTTATATAGAATGACGCTACAATGTCGTAAATATAAAGGGCATACTCATTGAGAGAAGATACAGCACAATACCTTCGCAAGGTCATTTCCCTCAGTATTTTGCAAAGCATGCTGAAACACTTCCACCTTTGCAATGAGGGGTAAGTGATCATAATCGGGTGCAAAAGCCAACATAAGTTTGTGCTCCTGATTCAAGAAAATCTGGAAAGGGAAACAAACAGTAATTGCCAAATAAAAGAAAGCAAAATACATATAGCTATGAAACAAGAGATTACAGCAGACAAACCTTCCTGGCATCTCTATATTCACGGATCAGAGCATGAAGTGTGTCACAGTTTGGAACCCATCCAATTAAACCACTGTTAGGCGACAAAGGTATAACAGCATATCTTTCGATTGATAAATCCTTCCCTGATGTTTTCCTTGAGTTCTCTAGGAGAGTATTCACCAGACCAAAAAGCTAAATGGAGACGAAAGAAAATTAGATATTGTACAAGAAGAAAACTACTCAAAAAAAGGTAAGCAAGAGGTAATATTTATGCTATTTTCACTATCAAGAAAAAAGCATTGAAACTAGTAAATTCTTCTTAAATGATAATAACTGAATGCCCAAGGGACTCCAGTTCCCTTACTGTGCTTTTCAGAATCACAGTTGGGGCAAGACAGTGCTATTTATGCTTAGATCATATATTTTTCAGCCACGACTAGCTGCCAGTGCAATTTTTCACCTAATTTCAGAATGTGTATCACATTTATAAATTATAAGGCCCATTCGATGTTTTTTTAAAGGACACTTGAACTGACTTTGTCAAAGATTTTGGATTTGTGGTGTCCCTCAGCCTATTTTGGTCTCAAGTAAAAAAGCCAGATCAATACTGCTGAGGCATAAGATAACTGCTCAAATGTAAAGCATCAGCTGCACTAAGATTTATTTTCTTTTAGAAAAAAGGAGCTGGGTTATCATGATTTTATGGAAACACTACACAAAGATACGAGTGCT